ATGATGCGAGTTCGAATACAACAGGGAGTACCAGTTCTCTTAAGATTTTAGGTAATTCTTGTTGACCGTATCCGACTAGCATGAGACCGGAATCTTGAATTCCCTGCTGACTACCTTCAGCCGCCCGAAAAATTAATTATGCCTGATTGAGAGGTTTGTGTTGTTTAAACCTAATATGAAGATTATTTTTATCACGCATTGACACCAGCAAATTAAAAAAGGTTGTTGAGCGCAAAGATTTCTTAGATAACTAAAAAACATAAATATTTGACACGCCAATTTTAGTTTATCACTCTGTAAAAAAATCATGCAGTAAACTTATCCACGTATGAAAAATAACCATCGACATACATTTAAATCGCTACACATTAAAACAGAATACATGATTGGATTCATCATATGTATCCTACAAGCATAACACTACAGAAACTATTGCAAGTAGCTAGATATAACAGTAAGAACGACAGAATATATCTATATACATATTTTTTCAGCAGATAAAATGACTACTTATTTAAAATATAAGCATATATTATACTTGTTGTAAATGGAAATGGTCTTCTTGTTGTTCCCATGATCGATAATATTCTGCTTCTTTATCTCGTTGCATCATTTCCATTTCTTTTTCATGCTGTTCACGTTCTCGTTCTCTTTCAATACGTCTACGTCGAACAGCTTCCAATTCCATTTTATTCTCTTGCATTTTCTTTTTTTGTAAGACTTGAAGCTAGGTTTAGATGGGTATTGAAAAACAATTGAGTGATTTTAGGCGAAGAAACAGAACAGAATACTTAAACATTTAATAAAAATAATGAAAATTATAGGTTTGCGTGGTTAAATTAGATTAAGTATCATACGTGGTAGGATCATCTAAGAAATATATATATATATATATATATATATATATATATATATATATATATATGTATATATATATATACCAGGTTTTATGTTGCTTATGACTGACTAAAACTGAAAGATGGTTAGATGTGACCGAATAATAACATGAGATTATTCCATAAGATCATTGATTTTTGGATTGAGCCATATCGTAAGATGCAAGCTTCCTGGCCCGAGTTGGTGCAGCAACCTCACTTAACGATTGAGGACCGTGAGTGAAATGACTCAAAATCCATTGGTGGCATAGCTGTATACATTTTCTTTTTATCTTCTATTACACGCAGGATTTTAATATTATTTTATGCTTCTTATCCCATGATTTTGTTCGATACTATCAAACCATATTCTCCATGTTTAGCTAATACCATTATTTTATTATAAGTATTATTATTTTGACTCATGATTTTCTTCCTAATATCCTCTCATCTTATTCATGTGAATTCTGTCAACTTGTGTCAATGAAAATTTACGCTAAAGTCGTTTATGGTTAACTGATATAAAGTTCGATTTAGCTGAGAAACAATATTCAATTAACTATCGAGAGATAATCAGCGCGAATAGCATAAAGCTTTTTAAAAAAAATTACCACCTCTAAAGAACAGGAAGTTTAAAACTTACCTCCTCTTTGGATAGATGTGACAATCCTTGTCGTTCTAATTTCCGTTTCCAGACAAATGATTCAGAAAGACGATGATCACCAAATGGATTATCTTCATTTGTATAACCTAAATACTCTTTATCCCATCCCATTCGTTCACGTCTCCAACGTTCTTTAGCTTCTTTTTTAGCTAAACGTCTAGCTCGTTTCTCTTCTGGTGTTTCTAGGATTTTTATCAAAGCCTTTGAATATTTAACGAAAAAAATAATTAGTAATAGGGACATAATCATAAAATGCAATAGACTAATAATTTTTGTCTACAGACCGTTTTTGTCACGCTATAGTGATCGAACAAAATAAATTGAACTATTATCCACAAATAAGACTAACTTTTTAGACAATCCACAGAGTTATGTACAAAGCCGTGAGTTGGATTTATTAAATACAGAAAAACTATATAATTTCTAATTAAATGAAAGATAGTTTGCGAGATCGCTGTTTAAGATTTAAGCTTATAGAGTCACGATTTTCGGTTCTCATTTTATTTTCTTTATTTAACAGGTACAGATTCATGTACTTGGCCCCGAGAGCTAACGATACTAATCAGTTATCTAAACCGAAATACATGGAACAGGGTTAGGATCTGAAAGCAAGTTGTCTGAATTCTAGTGATGAATGCAATGTGACTCCCAACGTAGATTCTTATAACCTTATGTCCACAAACAATTAAAATCAATGATAATATATGTTTCTTATAGGACACGTCTGAAATGATCTAATTACTATCATTAGAAAATAAGGTAAATAAAATGCAAAGATGTACACCCAGATTACTAGTGATTAGGGTAGGCTTTGAGGTCTAAACAAAAACGGACTAAATATTCTGCAAATTAGAAAAGCTGTTACGAAACAAAAGCTTAACATAAGTCCAACGCATATATCATGCGCTTAATATTCCCTAGTAAACATTCGACCCCTGTTCTCAAAAAAAACCAATAGTTTCGAATTTCTCCCATTTAAACAGAAACCATTTACAGTCCGAAAAGCTTATATATTCGCATCATAATATCAGGAAATGTTTCGTCAGTGAAGAACGACAAAATAAGCAATAATTCATTCGCACTTACTGCTCTTTTCATTCCGACCACAAAAATTTTCCTGCAAAAATAAGTTGCTTACACTGGTTTTTTAATGCATTTTTTGTTCATTCATTGTAGCATATAATAGTAAAGTAGTAGTATTTTTAATAGAAAATATTTGCAACACAGTTTACTGGCTGTAGTCGTTTTAGTAAATCATGCATGTCACAACAAAGTACACTTCATTTCTGTACTAATGCAGAAAAATGGAAGAGTAAAAACGAGCGAATCTTAAGAAAGCTGGACAGTTCATTGATATGTAACAAGAGTCGACTGAAGCACTAACACATAATACAGTATATTGATGTTAGATGTTAGTGGTTATAACTTTGAATTCGGCCTTCGTACCCGCAGCTTAGGAAAACGTATACCTCCGTAAACAATTGAAATACCATATATTACAGTCTGAAACATAGTTACGAAGTGCAGGATTAAATACGCAGCTTGAAGCCACACAATTAATGTAGGCACCATGGACACTATCAAACCCCCTAAACATAAATAGATGGAACAAGTTCTGAACCTGCTAGCCTAATGTTTTAACCACTAAACCACCTTGTTATGTTCTTCTGTCCGGTTAGTATATCATGTGATAAGATCGCCAATTAGACCCGACTTATACGACCAGACTAATGACACATAAAATAGTACGAACAGCCTAGAGTTCCCATTGGTCCTCCGAAATAGTAGCTTCTCTTCTAACCCAGCCAACTCAGTCCAGAACGCCAACATCAGCCTCCGCCATACGAATCATATATTTCAGATATAATGGGTTTATATGCAAACAAACCATACTGCACCAAACCATAAAATGAAAAATAACAGTTATACAGGATCAGGCCAAAAAGTGGCTGTGATTGTGAGACTGTTACCAATAAATCGGAAATATCTTAAGAATATTAAACCTTATAATAACAGTCAGTAGGTTAAATAAAAGCTCATAATGAAAGGAATATGAATATGCATATAATATAGTTACTTAATAGTTATACAATAAGAATATAAATATAACAATAGTCCACAAACAGATCCTAGCCGTTACTATCCACCCATTTAATATAACAACATCAGGATTTGATTGTTCTGAAATATTTTCCTCAAATTTATTAAGAATCTGATTGCTGAATATTGAATCATTAGAAAAACCAGCATCTACCGAGATCGCATCGGATTTTCGATCACGGATTGATTCATTCGACACATTTTCCTCATATTTATAAGAAATTTCATCAAAAGCATGTGGTTCATTAAAACAACCCGTATCTGGTAAGATAACTTGATCATTAACAGGTCACAAGAACATAACAATTGGCGATGTGGGTGAAAGATCTACAATCTCAACCTTTACAAGAGCAAATTAATTTTGGTAGATGCATTAAAAAACTAGTGTAAACATCTTATTTTTGCAGGAGGTATTTTGTGGTCGGAATGAAAAGAGCAATAAGTGCGAATGAATTATTGCTCATTTTATCGTTCTTCACTGACGAAATATTTCCCGATATTATGATATGAGGTTGTAAGTGGCTGAAGAGAAACTACAAGTTAAAATGAATTCATATATTTTACTACGCTCATTGTTTTTGCTGTTATCAAACTGTACATTTTCCTTGAATTATTTGTGCTTCATTTTTGCATACATTATCAATTTATAAATCGTGATAGTTTTTAATTGACCATCTGTTCAAGTAGTGTTGGGGAATAAGTGATCTATACTGCCTAGCTAATCACTAAGAATGACATCAATCAACTGGATATATATACAGCCTTAGTCAATTTTACTAATAAGAAAAATTGTATGAAAATGTATGGTAACTGCCTACCTTCTTTTGTCGCCTTTCTTCACTAATCTTTTGTATTTCTTCCAGTGAAAGAGACAACAATTCCTTGGGAACAGCGGCTGATGATGTATGTTTCTTTGTGGTTCCATTATCAGAGCGATTGTCATATGACGACGATGGTGATGAAGAGGACGATGAGTTGGAGGATGACCTCTTATGCTTTTTTCTTTTCTTTTTGGAAGAATGGTGGGATGTCTTATGTTCTGAATGGGTTGTTGGCTTAATCGAACTATGAGACCTAATCTTGCTATGTTTATGATTAGACGACCGACTGACATAAGACATTTTATCATCATTACTATCAACACTAGAACTTCTGCGGTGATTTACAGTAATCTTATCGTGTTTGTAATATGAGCTGACTTCCGACTTAATTTTATGACTCATCTCCGACAAACGACCGTGATTTATCTGAAAACAAACACTTAATAAACGAACGGGATAAACAGGGTAAAGTGAAAAGAAACTCTGTGCAATATTTCATTATATTTTACTACAACTGTACAAGTTCTGAGTCAAGAACGACTAGTTTTTGTGTCTAAAATAGTAATCAATGGCAGTAGAAAATATTGAGAAACCAGCAGCTCCCAAAAGACCGGCTTGTAAACCAGCTAGTAAAATTTAAATGAGTATCACGTATAAACAAAATTACCTCGAAAACCTATTCCACCACCGACGATTGCACCTGACAATGTACTATTCAGAAGATCACTCTTGCCACGGTACTAAAAAACCAATATCACAAAACCATAACATAGCTTACACTCTCAAGAGCACATTCAGTACCAGCGAAAAGTGTCCCAATCATAGCAAAACTCTTGGCATGTGATAACGAACGGGAATACATTTCCTTCATAACTTGGCGAGTAGTTGGAGTTTCCGCACCATGTACTGTGCTCATTGGGTCCACACTGGCTGAAAACAACCCAAACATACCGCCCAAAACAAAACCTATATATTTATTTAGTGGTTATTTCAAGTTGAATGAACCTCCAAAGCAGCTTAACAGAGCTTTAAATGGACAACTGTCCATTACCCGGCGCACCATTAATTCTTCATTTGGTGGCAAAGGAAAAGTCAGTAATTTCATGCGAATCAACTTTTCAGGATCAGAAAAGATGTGATTACTAATCGTCCTTTTTAAGGATGATGGATCATCACCGTGTAATGCAGCGCTTAGTTCTTTTGAAAAATTTACGTAACGAATTCGATCCGCATCTGAAAGGTTTAGGTAGTCTTTATAACGCTCAAAGAGAAGTTCTCGTATAGATTTTTCTTCGGTTTGTTGAATTCCTTCTGACATCCTAAGAAGAAAATACGCGAGATCCACACAAGCTGATAACTTTTACATTGATATATTTACTCACAGCAACTTAAAAATAGAGAACTCAACAAAATATTCAGTTATCTTCGTTGGTGCATATAAAATACGCTTGTTTGTAGTAAAAGACCAAAGGTCATAGATGATTATTCGCAGATTCAAAGGGTTATCATTGATATCACAGGAAAAAACGTACAATCATTAGCACCAAATACAGAGCCCGTGTTTTGAAAGAAGCTAAAGAGAAGTTGGTATAAACAGATTCTCCATAGAATGAAATTTCAGGTTATGATTTCTTAAAAACGTACTTCAGGATGATAAAGTTATATCCTCGTAGTTTTAGAGATGTACTTTATAATGAATTATTTTACATCCTATAATCTAGGTTATGAAAATCGGTTTTAGTTGTTTTACTTTGATTTACATTTGGCTGGTCTTCAGCGTAGCTTGAGATACCAAGGTATTTCTAACATGGAAATTTATAAAACTTCAGGCCTATTGTTAACGAATAAACAGCATTCGTGAAACATTTGTTGCATGATAAATCAATTTCAGAGTAAATAAGCAACAATGAGATAGTCGAGAACACAAGTTCCTAAAAACAACCCATTGTCAATTTCCTACTCGGTTGAACTTAATTTTAATTCAGAGTTTACGATAAAGTGACTTGCTAGTAATGTTTATCAGTGCCACGATTAAATATAGTTGGATTATACCAAGGATGAATCTGAGTGACACGTTTCTGAAAAAGCGACGTCTGTCAGTGAGTTGGTTTGGAAAGACGGATATCTCAGTCGTTTAAAGTTTGCATCGTAGACTCTAGTTCAGATCCAGCTTCAACATCTATATGTTATCACAAGTCTCTGCACTAAACACCGAGCTCAAAGCCGATTATGTTAAACCTTACTCATTTACTGTGTTGCAAAAGGTTGAGATGCCTGGTAAGATAGTGACTTTACCATAAAACGAAAATTAGCAAACGTATTAATTTCTCTGATTCTTAGATGAAAAACATTGTTCTTTAGGATTCATGCTTTTCATGTCAGATTCCTCAGTTCAATGCTACTAACTATAAATCACAACCCAGGAACACCGACGAAGTCAAAATGTTCGGTAAACGCATGTCTAGGGGATGCCTAAGGGAAAGGAAGATAACTAATATCATCCTCTACACAATGAAACGCACTTTCGACAAGTTTCCTATTGCATTCTTCGTCATTATTTTGATAGATGCAGTATATATTAAAAGCAGGAACGAGAACACTGGCACTAGCCCTGATGATAATAGTCAATACAAAATCAACGGGATATTCAACGTACTTTTAAAAGTCTGAAAATGAACCAAATGAACAATTTAAAAGGAAACACATCTGTTTCAGTCCTGATAGCCCCAGAACAAAACCAGTTTCATCTATCTTTTCGAGAAACGTAGAAGGGAAATTGTGCGCGACGAGACTATAATTTATGGACTAACCAATAAGATGTACGATTTCCGCTCAGAGTTCTTTATCCTTTTGGCTAAATAGCGGCTTGGCACTTTAGTTGATGTCAGTTCGTGATAAAAATCTTGAATCTAATCCCTATCTCTAACTGTCAACTATAAATCACAATCCTTATCATTCACACAGGTTTAAAATCCTCATTTATCCCTATAGGGACATTCTCAAGGCCACTTTAACGCCGTTCAAAGGTCGTCCATAAATTATGGTTTCATCGTAAAGCCTCTAAAAATATAAAAATACCCATTTACTCTAGATATGTCCTTGAGAGGTTGCAATGATCAACTATAGACAGTTATGCAACCAATACCTTGCAAATAGCTAAGTTACGCTGGTTACGAAAATTGCGCTCATTCAAACGGTGGTGCATTCTTCAATATATTTGTCACGAGCTTGTATAAACCAGATGATTTCCTTGCACATGCTTCCTGCTATTTCAGTACCATTACATGTATTCGTTAATGTCCAATGAGTGTTCGTCTAGTCACTCAACTGCAGTAATTCTACTCAGTCTGATAATCGTTTGTAGATTTTTTATGTTCTATTTTGAGTGAGTGCATTGGTCTCAGAGCAATATGGATTCTGGATACCATCAGCCACCATATCAACAGGTAGGATGTTGTTTGGGTGAAATTCGGAAATGATAACGTTAATTATTAATGTGTATGAAGACGGAATCGAATAATGAGAAGGGAAACGAGGATGACAATTACAATGATAGAAAGTGGTCACTGATATTCAGTGATCATAGCTGTGATTTATGAAAAATATATCGAACACAGCTGGTCCATGAGGGAGATGGTAACTGATCGTTGAGTAAGTATTTGTTAAATCTTCTTTTAAAGGTAGCTGTGTTCACTTTGGCTGGGTAAGCATTCTAAATGGAGGCATATATTAATGGGAAAAGATGAGTGTGCCTTAGTTTTTGCCCTTTGACACGCACTTTTTTGATTCTTTACCTCAATATTGTGCCAGCATCACAGACCAATTTCTGCTATATTCTCCCCTACTTATCTTCACTGTTTATTCAGCTGCCATATCCGTAATTGATAAACTACTCAATATCGTTTTCATGGTATTTTGAATCGCTCATACGAACTTTTCACTTTATCGTACAGACAATCATGATATAATTGCACGCTGATTTTTTGTACGCTTATTAATTTGCCCATAATCACATGTTAATATTTCCTTTTGTCCACGTCTTTATGTATTCGCTTTACATAATCATGATACTTTCGCACAATATAGTCACTCTTCACGTGACACTGTACTCAATCAGATATGGTACAAGTTTATTTCGCTACTTATTGTTAACGTTAACCACATACCTCTTTAGTGTTCTTTTCATAAACAGATATTTTTCCCAAATTAATGTTCTATTCTAAATATTGAGTCACACGTTACCAAACTGGACTATCTCAGTAACCTCCGCTACATATCACATCATTCTAAATATGGTGCACCAAAGATCTCCTGGTGTTCATACCCTAGAAGTAGCTTGCACTCTAATGATCTCTATTCGCAACACCATGTTCTCTAGATAGTTTCAGAGCCAGAATAAAATTGGGTCAGCAAAGCTAATCCTTTTAACCTTCGCTAGGAGAGGTACATGAGGTACTGTGTCAAAGGCTTTTATGAAATCGAATAACAATATATAAACCGGTCACTTACTGTCCCAGTAGGTTTGTGGAATTATGGTCTAGTTTGTTATTAGTACTACTGTAATAATAGACCTAATCCTAAAATTGTAGAGTTATCGTGATGTTACTGTCTAATCTATAAGATCTTGCCTGAAAGTATGTCATTGTCTATTCTGACTCGTCACATCCTAACAATCCGTGATATAACGCTTGGCATTTGTAAAGATCACACTTGGGCTAAGGATAGAATAACATATTTAATGTGAGCAAAGACAAATTATGCAGAATGACTACGTCTGCAAGGCTGAACCATGCCATCCGATGTATTGGATATCCGCGCGCTCAGCATTGTTGGCCTTCTGTCGGGGTTAAATGTTGAATATCTATTTTCCTAGTGATCTCATGTTTAGCTTTGAGAATTGTATGGTTTGAACCAGTACTACTACGGGTAGTCCGGCCTTCCCATACATTGATTACACTGAACTCATATGACCTCCCGTTCCTGAACTCGTATTGAGCATTATAACGACCGAACTGCCAATATTCGGTTCGAATGCAGGACTGACGAACCAAAATTTATTCGACTAGACCAGATTACGTTCTTCTGTATAGCGTACGAAGCGTTTTCAGATGCTTGTCTTAAATTATATCAAAACACAAACTCTGTGCTCAATTTAAACGGTTTTTAATTTAGGAAATAGAACAAATTATATCAAAGGTTCAAAATACTTCAAACAGTGCAGCCTGTGCTATACTGTCAAAAGTTTCTCTAACACAAATTCGAGTGCTAAACAACAGTTAATACCAAAGGGTTCGATGCCTGAGAAACAATAAAAATATTCCCAACAAGATCGAATCAAATATCTACCAGCAGGGATTCCAGAAATCCTCCCAAGCAGACAGTCAAACGTTTGTAGAATTATGGTCTATCACGTTGTTAGTGCTGCTCTAATAATAGACCTAATCCTAAAATTATAGATTTGTCATGATGTAACTGCCTAATCTATAAGATCTCACGTGCAAATCACATCATCTTCTACACCAACTCACTTCATCTTAACAATTACCAACACATGATAGAGGACAATCTTAGGCTAGAGATGGAACAATATATTTAATATAGATGAAAGATATAAAGTAACATTTATCAGGGACCACGCCTGCATGACCGAGCCATGCTATACGATCAACTCCAATTCATTCAATCCATCGTTCTCGCCTTATCCGTCGTTGGGTTTTTCTCCGCGTTAAATGTTGAATATTTATTTCCCATATTGTCTCGTGTTAGGGCCCAATGCCACTACAAGTTAACAGTCACACACTGAACCACGCCGTGACCTTGAGCTTAGTCAAACACCACATTACTGTCAACAGTTCTGCGACATGCAATAGAAAATTAGGTAACAAAAGATAAGTCTTGAATCAAAATCACATAATAAGGGTTTAGACGAGGAAGACTGAAGAACACAAGTTGTGGTCAAAAGAAGTCTGAACAAAAGTTGAAATACACGACAGGGAGAGGAAACAAATAAATGACAGTACTGTCCAACAAAAATGCTGTGAAGGGATTTTCAGCGTTCTCTTTCCGTTACAGGCTTCATATAAGATGTTGTGTTCAAGGCGGTTGAAATGGTTCTAGACGGAATAGAAGAAGCTTTCGCTTGACGTGCTTCCGTGTCCAGTAGCAGTGGATCATTGATAGCTCCAGGCAGGAACTTAGGTATATTATCTACGAAAGATTAAAAAAATTAAAAGCTGATAAATCATGGTAAGATGCTATCCTTAGTTCTCAAGAATATGTTAAGCTTTCTCTTGAAAGACTCCTTAGAAGTCCCTTAGACTAGCTCAGCCGGCAGTGAATTCCAGCATTTGACTACTCTTGAGGAGTAGAAGGTATGCGTACAGTCCGTTCCGCTGTGTTGTGTCTCCAGGTTCTGTGTATTTTCCTAAGGTTTGTGTTGGGACTAATGTCAATCAGGTGTTTGAGGGATGTTCAGAAGTAATTAGGATGCTGTAAGCCATCAAAGGTCAGTTCTAAGACACCTGTACTTTGACGGGTTAACGTTTAGTGATTGGAGGCGCCCTTTATAAGGCTTGAATTTGAGTCCTCGGACTGATTTCGTGGCTTGCCGATGGATACGTTCCGGAGTGTCCCTATCCCTTTGGAGTAAGGGAGGAAATACAATGTTTCTGTAATCTGAAGAGGGACGCATAAGACTGTTGAAGATTAAGTGGAGAGCTTTTCTGTCGAAAGGCTTTTTGTCACAGTTAGCGTACGACTTAAAATCGTAAGGTACCAGCCCTCCTAAATCTCTTTCAACTTGGGATACTTCTAGAGGGAAGTTGCCTAAGTTTCAGCTGTAGCCTGCAACATGTTTCAGATGAACTACTTTGCAATTTGAAGTGTTAGGGGTAAGTCCGTTGTCATTTGCCCAAATTTGAGGTCAAGTTAGGTTCTCGTAAACTGTCCATTTGTCCTCTTATTCGCGTAGATCCCTCAAGTTTCAAATCAGCAAAAAGTAATACGTTTAATGATACCTGTTGTATTACAAACTGCAAGGATTAATACAGGTCAATAGACCTCCTATCCTTATTACTAAAGACTGAAAGATCGTTTATATAGATCGAGAACCACGAGGGACCACACTGTGACATTCAATAGCCTGAGAAAAAGTGAGGTTAACCCTGATCTTTGAATGTCGATTTTATAGATATGAAATGAGCTAGTCAGTTGAAGGACTACATGATTTTGAGGGTATAGAGAGAAGTGCCACCGGTTGGTAGCTTGAAGGTTCACTGCGTCGACCTCCTCTCAAAATTTGTGTGATGCAAGCCAGCTTCCGAGTCTTCACTTATGTTCCTTGACTTGTCGAATGTGAGAACATCACGCTAAGCGGTGCTGCCCACATATTCCTTGATTTATTTATTGGCCAGTCTTTCCACTATCTTCAAGAGCATTAGAAGTAATCCGGCCGGTCCGTAACAGCTTAGGAGTTTCTAGCCCTCCTTTGAAGATTGGATGGGGAGTAGCCTAATTCCATTCTGTTTGGAGCTGATGTCTCATGAGTGTTTGAAAAGGTCACACATTCGTATACTGATAGCTTCCTTGCACTGTTTTTAAGGATTATATATCGGATGTAGTTACATCGTGGTGACCTTCCTAGGTACAGGAATTTTATTCCGTTTAGTACTAACCCGCGAGTTGGATATCTCACAGACCCTCAACTGGCACTAGAGTTGAGAGGTTCTCCGTGCTTTTAAGCGCTTGGTTTGACTTGTCAATGAGGTTGTCGTTAAAGATCTCTGCCGTCACTAAGCTGGTGCGATCTGTGCCATTTTGACCTTCAAGTGTATAGATCCCCGAATTTGCGGGTTTTCTTCTGGTCATGGATCTGTATGGATATTTGGGGTTAGCTTCCGGTATAGTCTGAAGACATCCATCGGTATGGACTTTACCGTTTCATTTATTTCTCAATGCTATGCAAGAGCTACGACCGGAATCCTTTGTGGAGACATTGGACTTGTCCCAGACTCTCCGTTTAGCTTGTGGCAAGTATTGCCTGCCTCCTTTAATCCAGCATCTTTGCACCCTAGGCATGTAATTACCTCAGGATACGTTGTGTTGGATTGCATTTCGAATGGCAATTTTCAATACCTACCAGTGGTCATCCGCCGTTATTCCCCACCATTGCCATGGCCGTAGGGCGTGTTAAAGGTGCTTCCCCAACATCGAGTGGTTTCCTCTAATGTGGCTAAGGTAGAGACCACTCATCTCTCTGAATTCTTTTATTTATGGTCACCTTAAAAATGACCCTCCGTGAACCACCGCACTGGTTCATTCTTGGGTGTTTACTAATCTTCTGGCGACATCTCTTACAGGCCACAGTTTGTGGAGTCGTAGTTGCGTTTGATCGGATAGCTCATCCGATGACCCCTAGAGTGTCAGTAAAATTTCTGTGACGAGTGCTCAATCAAAAGTTGCACACAATGGAAGGGATTTGCCGCCCACCAGACCTCGGCCTAATACAGGTGGCTTGGTTTGGGTAGGGTGGTACTCTTTCCCAGAACTATTCAATATTTATCTCAATGTTTTTTATCAGTGGCTGCCCTGCTTTCTGATAAGTTACCCTTGAACACTGGAACACCAGGTGAAATCAGTGATTTTCGCCTAACGTCAATGTCTTTTATTTCTAATCCAATATCTAGCATCTTACCACTTCTTTCGAGACAAGTGAGCATAGACGAAAATATTTCTTCGCGATAGAGGACTGTTTTCGGCATTAGCAAATCAAAGAAGATCTCTGACGATCGGGTTTGACGTGTTGGGTAATTCTGTTGATTGGCCAAGCAGAATCCCCCCTCTTTAAAGACTCAGTGAGAAAACAAAAATCAGATGAGTGGTCTAACCTATGCATTTCTCACTCGAAAATTTATATGAACATATGTATGAATTATCAGACCACAAATCACCATAGATCAGAAATTACTATGTGTTCCACAGAAGGGTACTCAGGATGCAAAACTGAATCAATATATAATAAGTTACGAATGGGATAAAGTGTAAGAAAATTCAATAAGTCACACAAAAATTTGAAATCCAGTGAATATAAAAATTGCATGGAATAAGCTTTAGTAATTACATATTAAGAAATCAGATTACAGACATCCCAAAAATAGTGTCCATATTTTCTTATCCTTTCTTATCCTTCTCATCACAACGAATAAGCATCTTAAAGGTGGAGGTACGACAGGAACTCAATATATGTAATACCACTGCCAGAGAACTCCTATTCATTGCCTTCTGTTAACAACAATAACACACACCACAAACCTATTAAATACGCATAAACATTAGAAAACACAATATTTTAAAATTAATTCGTTAGTCCCTAAATGAATGTCATTATTTTGATGTTGTTTTCTTGTTCAAATGTTTATTTATAATTATTATTAGTTAAAATAAAGAAGTGAATAAATATATTCTGATTGGTACAATATTTTGACAGTTAATAAACAAAAACCAAAGAAAAAAACGAATAATAATAATTATGACAGTTTAAACATTGGTACACTAAATATACATTAAACAAACAAACAATTTGAAATAAAATAAATAATGTCATCTTACATTATTTGTTAAAACTTCCCTTGCAAATTATTTTATAGAACCTTCCAAATTTACTCAAACAGTTATTACATAATTCATATTTGTTTCAAAAGAGAGTCAAGGATTTTTACCATTGATGAAAATTAAAAGAAAAAAAATGTGTATTATGTAATAAATTATTGAAACTATTTATGGATTAATATTTGAGGATACGTTTTTTTTTCTTTGAAAAGTAAAGAAAATAAAATACACAATCATTCATATTTAATTCACTTGAAAAAAATATAATTGATTTCATTCAATAAACATCAGTTTCACATATTTAAAACAGAATAAATTAAGATAAATATTAAATTATTTTTTTTTTGATCATTTGATACAACTACTTAAATCTACTTATAAAATTCTTTTTTAATAAAAAGAAAAAAATCAAGTTACTTTGTTTATTCACAAAATAGACTGAAGTTTTCATTTATGGATAAATAATAAATTTCTATGGAAGTAAGTTTTTTTTTTTATTAATGTAACTATTATTGAAATACTACCTAGTGAATATTACTAGTTGACAAACGGATATAAATATAGAATTAAATACATCAAATTGTATAGACAATATCTTCATGATTGTTGACTTTGTTATAATTGATTATTTATTTGATCTAACTGAATGATATTGATAAACTGTTATGATTCAGATTTCTTTTTTATGATTGACTTTAAATAAAGGATTAGTTGGAATGAGTTGTTATATAGAATGATGATTGATAGATCCATTTTATAATACATTTAATGAGCATATATATATATAAACGTTAATCATTCAAAAACTATCACTATGAATCAACTATGTCTTAAATCATAACAGATCATTCGAAAATAAATTTATGATGGAGACATTTTATAAAACTGCTTTTTATATGTTATATAGCATAAATTCGAATGTCTTCAATAACAATAGTAATTTAATAAATATGAAAAATCAAATGTTTAGTGAAAAGAAAACCGTATTGCATACAATTGTTTTCTTCTTTCAAATCCTATCTGCTATTTTTATATTTTGTGGTAATGTTCTAGTCATTTTAGCTGTTGTTACAACTAAAATGTTAAGACGTGTAACTGATCTCTACATTGTATCACTTGCTTTGGCTGATCTACTTGTTGCAATTCTGTTACTACCATTATTTATTATTCGACAAAACGCTGGCTATTGGCCCTATGAATCACACGAATTATGCATATACTGGCTCTCTTTCAACGTGTTCTTGTGCACTGCATCAATATTAAACATATGTTGTATATCTGTGGATCGATACAATGCCATTGTTAATCCAATAAAATATGTAAAGAAACGAACTCATCGCACTGCGATAATCGTGATTGGATGTGTATGGATTACGTCGTTACTGGTAACGTTACCACCGTTTTTCGGCACTCAGCATCATACGGGAGTAGGACGTTGTTATATAAGAATTGACACAGTATACAGATCTCTTATAGGAATCACAACATTTATCATTCCATTTATATTGGTCGGCTTTATTTATATACGTATATTTTTCGTGATTCGACGTCGTTCAAATGAAATAAAATCTGGAAAGCTTTCATTAGACTTCAAAGAGCAAAGATATGGATCATTTAAATTGCTTTTCATTCCGAATAATATTTATAACCATAGATTTGGACAAAAAATGAATTGTTTCAGTTCACGTAACTCTAATCAGCGTCAATTGTTTGTATCAAATTATACACAATCTAATTTATTCATTGCATATACGCCCAACAAGAGACAAAAATATGTTAAAGAACATACTGTAAATCAGTCTCACGGTCAAAGTACCTCCAGTTCATTCACAAATAAACATTCCGAACACGTAGAACGAGTGTATTCAGAAACTTCTAAACATTACACACAATATATTCACAGGTTTCCAATATCAATGATGCATACAACGACGAAATCAGATCCAGATGATTTTCCTACGTTTTCGATTCACAATAGCATTGACAACACAGAAATCTATACTTCGCAAACTACAGATACTATCAACAGAACAGTTGACGCTTCTATGAACGATCGACAGAAAGATCAGCAACACAAACATGGTCACAGATTAAACAGTCTGAATGAAGAAATTGTGAATTCCGAGCCGAAGCATTCTAACAAACATAATAGAATGATTTACCAACGACGTAAACGTCTTGTGTACAAGAGTGAAAAGAAAACAGTGAAAACAGTAGCAATTGTAGTGTGTTGTTTCATTTTATGCTGGCTTCCATTTACCATTTTATATTTAATGGAAGGAGCATATCAATGTCGTTTTTCTGAAAAAATTTTCATGGCTACTGGTTGGGTAGCATACTTGAATAGTATGTGTAATCCATTTATATACGCATTTTGTAATACTAAGTATGCAAAAGCATTTAAACGTCTATTGCATATTCGAACAAATTCTTAAAGATTAGGAACTACAATTTTAATTGAGTTTAGATTGTTAATTATAATGTAAATAATGCTTCTATAAATGTTTAGGTTTTTTCCATAAAGAATGATGAATACAATACATAATCATATAAAAGGAATTGTAATTTCTAATTCATGAATGATATAGAATGTATTATTCTAATCTATCATTAATCACATAGAGTATTAGATCATTTTCATTGGAGTAAAAGTTGCTGTTGTTGTTGTTGTTGTTGTTTTTCTTCTCAATTTTACAATGTATCTAGTTTCAAATCTCCTAAGTTTTGTATATTAATTAAAATGAGATAATGACAAGTAATAACACAGATTTAAATGTGTTTTAACTTAACTTATTTTAGAATGTATATAACAGATCTTAAAAATATTCTGATTGATCATATTATAATATCTACGGTATTCTAGTCATAATCAGAACTCATTACACAGGTGAATAGAGGTTATTATTTAAAGTTATCAAGACAATGAATTTGGTGTAATTAATGATAAATGATAATTGGCATTACAGTTTGCAGATTATTTGTATTGAAATTATGTTCCTTCAAAAAAAAAAAAGGGACTCAAAATGTGAAGATGTGGTGGTAAAGCTTGGAACATAGGTTTCGTGATAGAAGCAATAAATATGTTTCTCTCATACAACTAACTAGTCGAACCTCCATTTATTTACTTCTTCCATACGATCTGTTTTTTTCAACATGAGACGATTTAAATTTTTGAAATATCAAAATTGAATTTTCATTCCCATTTAAATAATGTTTTTTGTCAAAGTGCTCAGATCCAATCTATGTTGCATCCTAGCAAAACAGATGGATAATAATTTACAACACACATGTTTTATGATTTGATGATAAGTAAATGTTAACTTGATAATATTCATCAACTAAACTACTCATTACTGTTGATAAATCAGCTCAGATTTTCTCCAGCAAAAGTGAAAACCTTATTTATTCATTTATCATTCAAGAGCTTATCATCTATTTTATTATCAACCAGGAAATAATAATCAAATGACATGTTAAGATTTATATTCTCCCAGTACTCATCAGACTGAAAATTTCCCGAACTTCGCTGCTCAAACTCATAAAGGTTCAGCTAATAAGTTGACAATGTTTTACTGAGAAACTAGATTTGTATGTGCATAGAACTGCCGAAAACTATTCAAACTCTCTACAACAATTTGTGGTTGACATAATTTACCTGAATCTAGTGATTCTGGTATAGACCCACATTTGTTGTTTTCATCACCAAAACCATTAGAGTTCAAAGAGCTCTGTGCAACCACAATGGTTATGTAACAACCGGATTTAAAAATTAGTCAGAACAAATGAATGTTTTTAAGAGAAACGATGCAATTATCATCTATATTCATATTCAGTCATTAAAGAAAAATTAAAAAGATACGATGAAACACTGAAAGTTTATTCTTGAAATGTGAGATATAACCAAAAGTGGTAGTTTCGTTTACTTTTCAGATTATTGTTCTTACTTACTTACTTTCACCTGTTACTCCTCGTGAAGGAGCATAGGCCCCTTACCAGCATTCTCCATCCAACCCTGTCCTGGGCAATCCTTTCAAGCTCTTTCCAGTTCTTATTCATCCTTTTCATATCCACTTCTATTTCCCGACGTAATGTGTTCTTTGGCCTTCCTATTTTACTCTTCCCTTCAGGATTCCAAGTTAGCGCTTGTCTCGTAATGCAGTTTGGTGATTTCCTCAATTTGTGTCTTATCCATTTCCATCGTCTTTTCCTAATTTCCTCTTTCGCTGGAAGCTGGTTGGTCCTCTCCCACAAAAGGCTGTTGCTGATGGTATCCGGCCAATGGATGTTGAGTATCTTGCGTAGACAGCTATTGATAAATACTTGTACCTTCTTGATGGTGGTTGTTGTAGTTCTCCAAGTTTCAGCTCTGTACAGTAGAACTGTCTTGACGTTCGTATTGAAGATTCCGACTTTGATGTTGGTTGAAAGTTGTTTTGAGTTCCGTGTGTTCTTCAATTGAATGGATGTAGCCATTGCTTTGCCAATCCTCGCCTTTACATCTGCATCTGAACCTCTTCATGCATTAATGATGCTTCCCAGGTATGTGAAGGATTCCACATCTTCCAGAGTTTCGCCATCAAGAGTGATTGGATTGCTGTTCTCCGTGTTGTGTTTGAGGACCTTGGTTTTCCCTTTGTGTATTTTGAGGCCTAGTGATGCAGAGACTGCTGCTATGCTGGCTGTCTTTATCTGCATTTGTTCGTGTGTATTGGATAGGAGGGCTAAGTCATCTGCGAAGTCTAAATCGTCTAGTTAGTTCTGAGCTGTCGATTGTATGCCGTGTTTTCCCTCAGATGTCGAAGTCTTCATAATCCGGTCGACCACCAGAAGAGAGAGGAAGGGAGAGAGTAGACAGCCTTGCCTGACTCCGGTCCTTACTTGGAATGCCTCAGTCAGCTGTCCTGCATGCACTACTTTGAACTGTAGTCCGTCGAATGAGTTCCGGATAATATTGACAATCTTCTCAGGAACTCCGTAGTGTCGAAGAATTTTCCATAACGTTCTCTTATCTACACTGTCAAATGCCTTCTCATAATCAATGAAGTTGATGTACAATGACGAGTTCCACTCAATTGATTGTTCGACGATGATCCGTAGTGTCGCAATCTGGTCTGTGCACGACCGGTCCTTACGGAATCCAGCTTGTTGATCTCGAAGTTCAGCATCTACTGTGTCTTTCATCCTGCTCAGTAACACTCTGTTAAAGACTTTTCCTGGTATTGACAGTAGTGTAATGTCTCTGTAACTTTCACACTTGCTCAGATCTCCTTTCTTTGGAATGTTGATGAGGTGTCCTTCCTTCCAGTCCATCGGCACTTGTTCCTCTTCTCGAATCTTCTTGAATAGAAGATGAAGCATGTTCGTAGTTACTTCGATGTCTGACTTCAGTGCTTCAGCTGGTATATTGTCGGGTCCTGCTGCTTTCCCGCTCTTGATTTGTCTGATGGCCATTCTGATTTCTTCCGTCGTTGGTGGATTGAAATCTATAGGAAGATCTGTGTTTGCTGCTTCGATCTCCGGTGGATTCATTGGAGCCGGCCTGTTTGGGAGTTCCTCGAAGTACTCTGCCCATCTGTTCCGCTGTTGCTGAATCTCAGTGATTGGTCTTCCTTCTTTGTCTTTGACTGGTCTCTCTGCTTTACTCTATTTTCCTGCTAGTTTCTTCGTTGTATCGTAAAGCTGTTTCATATTTCCTTCTCTTGCAGCTTTCTCCGCCGTCGTTGCTAGTTCTTCCACGTATTTCTGTTTGTCGGCTCTAATGCTCTTCTTCACTTGCTTGTTTGCTTCTATGTACTCAGCTTGTGCTTGGACTTTCTCTGCTCTTGTTCGACTATTGTTAATTGTTGTCTTCTCGTTCTTCCTTTCTTTGATCCTGTCCAGTGTTTCTATAGAGATCCATTCCTTGTGATGATGCTTCTTGGGACCAAGAACCTCCTGACACGTTGAAGTTAATGCTTCTTTGATACCTTTCCAGTTATACTCCATAGTAGTCTCTTCTTCCTTCAGTAGATCCTGTAGGGCTTGGAACCTGTTGTTGAGAGCTACCTTGAATTCATTGAGTTTGTCAGTATCTCGAAGGAAGGCTGTATTGAACCTTTGTGGTGCTGTTTGTCCAGTTGTCCAGTTCTTCTTTAGCTTCAGTTTTAAATTGGCCACAACCAGGTGGTGATCTAAAGCTATGTCCGCTCCTCTCCTGGTTTTCACATCTTCCATTGTCCTTCGGAACTATTTATTGATGCAAATATGATCTATCTGATTCTCTGTGGAGTGGTCCGGTGAGATCCATGTAGCTTTGTGTATACGTTTGTGTGGAAATATTGTACCGCCTATGACCAATTTATTGAATGCACACAGATTTGCAAATCCTTCCCCGTTCTCGTTCCTCTCTCCCAGTCCATGCAGTCCCATGATATCTTCATATCCGGTGTTGTCTATTCCCAATTTGGCGTTTAGATCTCCTATCAGAATGGTGAGGTCTTTTCTTGGGCACTTCTCTATGATTGATTGCAGCCTCTCATAGAATTGATCTTTAACCTCGTCGTTGCTATCATTGGTGGGTGCATAACATTGAATAATGTTCATTGTGATCCCCTCCTTCTTTGTTTTGAATGATGCTTTGATGATTCTGAATCCGTGAGATTCCCATCCTACAAGTGCATTTTGTGCTACTTTGGACAGCATTAGAGCAACTCCCTGAGTGTGTGGAGCATTTTCCTCTTCGTGACCGGAGTATAGCCTCATCTCTCCCGTATTTAACCTTTTCTGTCCAGCTTGGGTCCATTGAGTTTCGCTGATTCCCAGTACTGCCAAGTTGTATCTCCTCATTTCTGTTGATATTTGACTGGTCTTCCCGGTCTCCCACATTGTCCGGACGTTCCATGTACCTATAAAAATTGTTGCTCTGGTTGTTAGAAGGGGCATCGGCCTCATGGCTTCCGAAGGAACTCGGCTTTCAACCTGAGGCGTCATATATCTTCTAAATGAAGAACTCCTAACTCCCAGTGCAGGGTTTAAATGGTTTGAATTATCTTTTCTGGTTAGCGAGTTAGTTTTCTACAGGATGGGGACGCTAACCTCATGCCCAACCCTCCTCCTTTACCCGGGCTTGGGACTGTCAGTAACTCTAGGAGAGGTACAGGCAGAGTTATTATTGTTCTAGGTAGGTAGAAATTGAGCTTTGTTAACATACATAAGGTTTTGTTTTTTTTTTAATTATGACCATATGCTTTGCTGTCTTTGTTAAATTACGTGACAGATTTAACTGATAACAGGAAAAATGTTATGATCCAGTTAATAAACTGACTTTTATTTTATTTTTATCTGATGAAGTTTTTAAATATTCCAATGAGGTAGATGAACATTTAAATGATAACGTGAATAAAGAGAAATGGTTTCCGATGAAATCTTGTATCAATCAACTTATGATTATTTTATT